GAACGACGGTCACGTTTAACACTCCGTGTTTGAGAAGGTCGTATGTTGATAGTATTTGATTTATCATTTTTAAATGGTGATATTTCATGGACTGGTATAATTTTGTCACCTGCTCTTACAGAACGATATTGTGTCATATCAAATGCATGTACATTTCGTTTATTTGTAGGATTTTTACGACACACATTTGGATGTTTGATAAAAACTTCGTGACGCATTCGTCTTAGACATAGCGGACACTGATCTAGTTCTTGTAGTATTTTGTTAGTATCATCATGAACACCATTCATGCCGCTGGTGTTGTTATTCATTCTATTTGAAAGTGCTTACATTGTGTTTTACTGCTCAATATACGTATGTATGTGTTGTCCGTTATCATGGAGATATTATCGATGCAACTCGATGAATGCAGATAGCTTCTGTGTACCTTTTTTCATTTACGTTAATTGTTCTTTTTCTTTTCTCTCATTCTGTTTACATATCTTACCTTCTCTGATAAATATTTCAGTGAACGTAAGGTCAAATAATTTATGCTACTTCTATTTGTATTCGTATTTTTTGTCAAGTTAAGAATCTTCAAAGAATAAGATACTTATTAAGACCTTGAGTTGAACACAAGCTTTGAAAAAAATTTCAGCCAGAAAAGAATATATATAAAATTTAGCTAAAAAACCTGTCATAAGATTAAAACGTATTGAATAATTGAGCAGTTTTACTCATGCATAATAATCAAATGAGACTGATTTAAAATTGACAAGTCATTTAAAACTTGTGAAGGATGTTTTTTTCCTATTAAGCGTTCAGTTAAATGGTCGTAATTTTTTCAATTGATAACTATTATTAATATTCATAACTTTTGGAGAAGATTTCTGTGTTGAATAAAATTTGTAAAAAAAGAAAAAAAGGACTATATAAATCATATTAATGATGCATTTTATTGCATGTCTACTTTTATCTAGATATTTGTTTCAACAGAACTTGATAGTCCAGCATGTTCCTTTGCAATTAGAATCGACTAAAGGATACAGATAATAAATGCATAGACTATTTACTGAAATGTGAGAAAAAAACGCAGGAAAATTGATGTTTCCTTCTATTTCTATGTATATTTGATAGGCATTTGTTTTGCTTACAAAAATTTCTTCAAGTTGTCATCAATACATAACAATATTAAAATGTGACCTTTTCGGTCAATCCTAGTTTAACTGAAATAAAGTATCCATTCTCTTTTATGCACCTCTACGTCATTTTATACACATATATATGGTATTCTTTTTTCTTCTTTTCTTTCCTTTCTTGATATAGTCGTACACCCATTAGTGAAAAATGTCTGTCAAAAAAAAAGATATATATATATACATAGCTCTTTTCCATGTGCTATCTATATTTTGAACCTTGTCGAATGAGATAATCTATCGACTAAACAGTCGGCCGCATAAGTAAGCATTTATATATTTTAGATTCAGACTAGTTAAAAATAAAAATAAGCAATTTTTTGAACGATAATGGATGGGAAATTAACAACAACATCTACTTCTCCTGACTCAAGTAGGATTTCTTTGTAACATTTAATTTCTCTTAATTTTACAAAGGATTTTCTTTGTTCATTTAGTATTATCAGAATTCTCATCGCATGATTCTATTGCTACAAGTAGTACTGCTCCTTCTTCATCCGCCATGTCAGTACTTCCACCACTTCGTTCATCATTTACAATGGCTAACATTAATAATATTACAAATTTCAATGAAGATCAGAGTTTTTTTCTTGATGAATTCAATTCAGAACGATTTTCTACAGTATCCCGATGGTAAATCAAATGGATTTTTTTTTCGAATATCTTTATTCTTATCTTTCGTTTTTATAGGCAATCGGATGCCGAAAATCTAAATCTCCAATCCAATTCTTCAACTCAACAATCATCATCAAAATCGACATATCTTATAAATGATTTTCTGTAAGTTAATCAATAATATTTAATATCAATTAATTACAGATTTGTTCGATTTAGAACTAACAGAAATATAGCTTCATCATCTATAACTGATGTACTAATCTCACCGATGTCTCGTTTATCTACATCATCATCAATGATGTCAATTAATAGTATTGGTAATCATAAAACGACTGGTCAACGATCGGTAAATTTAATCTCAAAGAAATTCAATTAATTTATTTATTATCATTCAAATTTTTAAATAATATTTTATTTTATAACAATTTAGTCTCGATCAGAATTTAAAAATTCAACAGAACAATTACCAATATTAAATGGAAATATATTTCCTTCGGTATCCTCTTTCTTGCCATTACCAACACCATTATCAAATCGTCAAACACTTTCATCAATTGAAAATATTCCATCAACTATGGCAGATAATGATCTTCAACGAGTACCACATTCATGGATGTTCATGTCATCAACACTACCCAGTTATGGTATAGTTTGAATTATTTATTTGTAAGAAAAAGACATAATTCAAGTATTATAGAAACGGTTCCTGTTGTTCAGCAACAACAACAACAGCTACCGGTACCACAACTAGTTCATAGTACAAATCGATCAAATTCAATGCCATCTTGGCGTGGTTATTTACCGATGAAATTCGAACCTATGTTAATGGATCAATATCAAATGACAAGTAATTTTTCACAAAAAGTATTTCTCGGTGGTATTCCTGCTGAACTAACTGAAGGTTAGATAAGAAAATTTTTTTCTTTCATAATGTCTCATATTTGATGGTTTGATTTCTAGCTGAACTTTTACTTATTTTACGAAAATTTGGTAAATGTAATATTAAATGGCCAAAAAATGATGGACTCAATCACAATATGCCTGGTTAGACTCTTTTTTTTTCTAATAGGTCGTGAACAAAAGTCTTTGACTCTGATTTAAGACATATGTAATTTAATTTGACAAAATCCACATATCTAACAAATGATTTTTACTCGTATAGTAAATTTTTATTTTTATTTTATTTTTCATATAGGTTTTTGTCATGTAGTATTTCGTGAATCACGTTCTGTATGTGAACTTCTTAAACATTGTACTCGACAACAACGTTCAACAATTGATTATTTTCTTCATATTCATATGACAACATCATCAATTGATTTATCTATGCGTACAAATCGATTAAAACCAGTATGAAATTTTTTTTTTTTTGTTTTCTAAAGAAATTTTCCTTTTTTCTTTTTTTAAACTTATTTAAATATAGATTCAAGTAGTACCATGGAATGTAAAAGATAATGTATATGTTATGCAACAAGTTGATACATCAAATAGTGATATAACAACATTTAAAGATTGGTCACGTACAATATTTGTATCACCACTACATGGTAAAATGACAGCATTGAGTTTAGCTACAATTATGTCAAATGTATTTGGATCAGTATCAATGGCACAAATTAATACAGATAAATATGGATATCCAACAGGTAATCCAGTTTAAAAACAACAAAAAAAAAAAATGATTTGTTTTTTTTTTCTTCTAATCAAACAAATATTATTTAGGTACTGGTACGGTATTATTTTCGGATTCACATAGTTATATGCGTGCAGTAGCTGCTGGTGCTATTGATATTAAATGTGATTGTTTTCATAAATTGGTGAATTATTTTTTTTGTTTTTGTTTTTGTATTCATAATAATTAAATTTTTAGCTTGATATTGATCCATTTTTACGTGAAAATGAACCTTGTGCATTTTGTCCAGCAGTTGCTGATTTATTTTGTCGAAATTTTCATTGTTTAAGATCTTATTGTAAACAATGTTGGATTAATAAACATGGATCAAAACCACTTGCTGATCATCAACCGGCAACACGACGACAACAACCGTTACCTCATATATAAAATAAATTAATTCTAAACTGTATTGAAAATATAGTTCTACTCTTTTTTGTATTTCTTTTTTTCTATGCAATGTGTGTGTGTGTTTTTTTTTCTTGTTGTTTCTTGAAAAGATTTCCTTTTTCATATATTTGAAACTTCTTGTGAAAAGTAGATATTGTGCTTTTCTTCTTATATGTTTGTACGAAATGTTGTTTGATCTTCAGAAATTATTATTTTGTCGATCGATCCTGTTTTATTTGAACAAATCATAATTAAGTTTTTTGTTTTTTTTTATTCCTCTTGTATATTGTTATATAGTGATAGTTTTGTGAGTAAAACGAAGAGAGTATTTTATTTTTTGTGTTGTTGTTATGGTCGAGAGGATTTTGTATTGATTTTTCTTCGAAAACAATACATTTTATATGTTAAAATAAACACATGAGTGTTTAAAAATGCTTGTCTTTTGATTTTTTTTTTCATTTAAATAATTTTTTACGGTTGCTGGAAGAAATGACCGATTGGTATGGAAGCCCGAGGGAGTACGGTACGACCTAGTGAAAATTGGTGTCGTTTCTTCCCCCTGCTCAACAGTTTTCAAGCCAGAAAAATAAGAACATTGTCTGCCAAAATTTTAGCCCCCCCCCCCCCCCCCCTCCACACTCCTAAAAACAATCGACAACCCTGTCTTGGACTATTCGATATTGTTGATTACAAAAATGATCAATGTTGAAATTGTATTTATGAAATAAAATGTTTTCTTTACTAATAGAAAGTATAAACAGCGTGTTACCACGGTTATAATGGTGGTAATTTATTTGTGTCATATGCAGTCTTATTACTGTGTATCGGTTTTTGTTGAAAACGATTCTAAACGATACTACATACGTTCTGATTCAAAAAGACATGTAATTGAGGAGGACAGATTGCGATCCAAGAAACGCCCATCGATTTTTAATATTTACGACAGATATTGGGTCGTTTCCAATGGTCGAACTAATCGTCCTAGACGATTTCTATTCTGAAGACTTTGACTTGCATTTAAATAGAAAGAATGAAGTCTATGACGGACTATAGAAAAGCATTTATAAGTCATCAATTCACTTTTTCTAATGTAAATTTTTATTAAAATATAAATTTTGTGTTTTAAAATTCAAAAATTTTTACATTTACAAACAAGTCGATTCCTCATGACAATTGTTAATCGTACATTGTAATTGATTTTTATTAGATTTATCCAAAGCATCTTCGATCTTACTTTGAGGATCATGTTTTTCACGTAAACGCCAAAGTGCATCAACAAATGTAATAAAATCAAGTGTTTGAAGTTGTTTACCATTAAATGTTTTATGATAATTTGTTTTTATTTGTATATATTCATCTTCATAAAATTGTTTTAAATGACGAGCATAAACAATCAAAGCTGTAGCAGTATAAAATCGATCAGCAAAAAGTGTAATTAAATCATTGTGAATACGATTATCATTAAACCATTTTTGAATATCTTTCGATGTCCAATTTTTTAATGAATTTTCTTCTTCATTCAATTTCATTGAGATCATTTTATTAGATGAGTTTTGTATTGTCATAGACTTTTGATCAATAGTCAAGATAGAAAGAAGTTCATTAAGAGCATCTGTAAAAGTTTTTCGTCCAAAATGAATATATTTTTGTCCAGCTATGCGAATTCCAAGCCAACCATTTGCTTTATATTTTTGATTTGGAGCATATACAGGTACAATACGTTTTTTTAGTGTATCACAAGCATATGAAAGTTCTTGTCTACATGATTTTGAATCATAATATTCTTTTGATACAATTAAAATAATAACAGTAGCTGTTTCCATAGCAGCAGCAATTTCTTCCCAAAGATCATCTGAATGAATACTATTATAATGTTCTTGTTTATAATCAACCCAAACATATATATGATTAGATAAATGTTCGACAAGTTCATGACAAAATATTGAATTACTATGTGAATAACTAATCATAATATGTGATTGTTGTTGAAAATATTCTTTTGATATAGTTAAATGTGAAAATTTTAAATTCCATAAAATTCCTTCGGCTGCTTTTATCACGTGGTATTGTTTTTATATGTGTACTAGTATATAATAATGATGATGTAGCTAAATTTGATAATGTATGAATAAAATTAATATTTAATTTTAATTTTTCTTGATAAGATTCATGAAATGATATACTCCATAAAAGATTAGTTAATATTATTAATATTTCATCATTAAGTAATTGATGAATTCGTATTGTATTACTTGTAATTATTAAATATTGAATAAGTAATTGACATAAACAATCTAATAATTGATTATTTTCATTTAAACTTTTTTTAAGTATATCATCATTAATAAATAATTTACTTAATGCACATAAAATTTCTGATAAATGACAAGATTTATAAAAGAATAAATTATTTTTTGAAGAAGAAATAATAAATGAAATGATTTCTTTAAAGTACATGACATATTAATTCATTATGTAAAATAAATTTTTATTTCATTATATTAACTTCCATAAGTAATACATTGAATACATAAATAATTTTCTTCATTATGATCTTTTTTTCATTTGTTTATGACTTTCAATTAAAATTTTTGTACAATTTAATTTATTTAATATTTCAATAGCAATTGTATGTCGAGCAAGTTTTTGTAAAATAAGATTAATTAAAAAATCAGTTGTATATGATGGTCTTGATCCAATTTTTTTTAACCATGGAATACATGCATTTGGCCATTGAGAATGAATTATCATTGGTATTTTACTAAATATTTTTATTAAACTAAGAATATTATTAATAACTTGATTTCTTTGTTCATATTGCCAATTATTTCTTGTAAATTCAAGTAAATATGAAAGAAAATTTGATGGTAAATCTGTTTCATTAATTGTAATGAATAGACTTGAATATGTAATAAACAATTAATAAGATGATCATATTTAATATCATTTATAAAATAATTTTGTTTAAGTAAAGGTTAAATAATTATGAAAAATAATTTCAGTACAATATAAATCTTTAATTGAAACAAATAATTCTAATAAACATAAACCATGAAATGCATTAGATAATACTTCTAAAAATAAATTTGTTTGATAAGAATTTTCATTATTATCTAATAATTTTTTATCAAAAATTGAAACTATTCGATAAAAATTATCTACAATAGCAAGACCAAGTGATTTATTTTCTGTTAATCCATTTAGTGTAGCATATTTTAATTGAGTAGTTAAATATTGATTTGCTGTTTGATACAAAGATAAACTTTTTAAATTATTAACAAAATCAGTTGTAGCCATTTGCAAACATTTATCAGTTAAATCCTCACTCATTGGTTTCTTTTTGTATAAATTAATAGTTGTGCACGTATCGTATTTATAGTATTACCTTGTCAATAGAATTTTTTTTATACACATCAATCTTATTTATCACAGAGCAAATAAAGCATGTAAAACTTTTATTGACAATTACTGTATCATACTGACGATACTATATTTCAATTTTCTCATAAATAATGGCATTATTTCTGAACTATATCATATTGAATATTCATAGATTATAAGATTTGATTTTATCGGTTGAATAATCTCTCTTTAATATATATAGAATAAACAAAAACAAGCATATAGAAAATGAAAACTTAGGTAGTGATTCTAATTGATTAATATAATCATTTATTTTATTACGAATATCAAATGCAATACTTTTTAAATCCTTCAGAATATTTGTGCATAACTGTTTGTTGTCATTTCTTAGTCATTTTTCATACATATTGATGACTTTGTAATAGCATCTGATGATCATTTTTGACGATTAGTTTCCATACTACTATTTTAGTGTATGATGCATATGTTATCATCATAGAGTACAATGATTCCTCAGATTAGTTACATTCATTTCGGCGGTATGGGTGGAAGTCTTCAGTTCAATCATATTCAACATCCACACTCACACCGTTCTGCTTCTTGATAAATTTTTGTATTTATCTAAACTTTTTTTAAGCAACTTGAAGCAAATATTGAAAATCAGCAACTATAATCTTAGAGTGTTAAAGAAAAATTACTGAGAGAATAGAATTCGAGAAAACGTATTATTAAATAAAAATGGATAATAATTTAATATAAATAAACAGAGAAAAACGACTAGATTCTAATATTTCTTAACACATTTATATGTTTTATGTAGGGGAACAAGTGTTGTGAAGTAGAGAAGACAGAAATAACATTAAGATGGTCATCATAGGTAGTTAATGGACCATCACTTGTGACTAACATATCGTTCATTTTCTCTCTCTTTACCTATGCTGTTCATATTCGACTTTTACGAACTTATAAAAAATTCATCTATTTTGATTTAAAATAATCTTTCAGTTCATTATCTTCCTTTAGATCCATCTATTAGTTTATTTTACTTATTTTTAATTAATCTATTTAAATATTTATGTGTGATTGATTGAATTTGAATATAAAATTTTTAATCATCATCGTATGATTATTTTTATGATAAAATACAAACAATAGTATCAAATATACAATAAAATTCTACAACTATTTGTGTACATTCAATTTTCAATATTAATAGATTTAAATAAAATACTTTCTCAAGAAATATTCAACAAAAACATTTTTTTCTTTAAATAAACTTAGTTCATCAACTGTATCCAAGGTTGACATAGCATTTGTTCGTCTAACTAAGTATATAAAAGAAATTGATTAGAACGAGAAAATATTTAATATGTTAAAAGACAAGTTTTTGAGAACTCTCAAATGTAAAAATACAGCAAAAAAACAATTTATAGTAAAATCTCACAATATTACCGCCTCCTTATTACGAACAGTAGGTATTTATTTCTAATCCTATAAACAATAACAACTTCTCTATTGCGAGCAATATATATGCTATTATTTACAGGCAAGACGAGAAAAAATACAACATATTATGTGCATTGAGTTATTATAAACAACCATGGGATACATAAAAGACAGTAGATGGGCTAGGCATGCATATAAAAAACATGTGTCATTATATTTGTGTCAACAGCCACGTCATAATACTGAATCATGTCAATACATATCGATTGACCTATGATGAAAAACTGTAAATTGATAAATTGTTGAAAATGAGATAAAGAAACTGAAAATCTCTTAATAATAAGCACTTTTGGGCCTTCACTCAAGAGTACTGATTTTACTGCATATAACTTGTCACGTTCTTTAATAAGCTTTTTTTTTGTGTTCAGTCGAGAGAATGAAATTTGAAAAAAATTCTTTAAATAAAAATTACTACATAGATATATATCACAACAGTTCGATTATTGAGATTATTTATGACAAAGGTTAAAAAACATTTCAAACATAAAATGCTTGGTTTTTTTTCTAATTGAACTGAATTATTCAAATAATTTCATTTGTATCTAATAACACATCTATAATCTTCAATATTCACAATTAAGAATTTATTAACCGTTTGTCAGCTTTTATTTTCACTTGAAAAACTAAATATGATCAAGCAAATAAATATGCATATCATTCTTCTATTTAGACGATCTATACAACTACCAATCAAACATTTATGCTATAGTTGATCGTCACGATACCCGTCGAAAGCAAACATTTGAGTTCACCTATACCGTCCGCTTATGTTATTCTATTTCGTTTTCCATTGACTAGTCTGAATGCAATCTATAGACAACGTCAATTAGAAATTGCTAGCATTTAAAGGGACGTTTTAAACAGTTCAATACATATTTTGCAAGATATTTTCGTACAAGAAAGTTCAATGATAACAGGTAAGCAATACCTTTTATATGACTTGAAGAATATATAAATAAAAGATTGTATTCTAATATCGAATATCAATCGATAAAATCATCTATTAGTATGCTTTAAGAATCGACAATACATGTAGTATGATCTCTTAGAGAAATGTGAAGATGTTCTATTGTCAAAGCAGAATATATTTTGTACTTCGAATGTGATTGATGAGAAAATATTTTCAAATTGCAATTTTAAATTCAATCTAATAATTTATTACTGTTGAATTACTATATTTTATTAGAATTTCAAATATTTGATTTATAAAACTTTTTTGTATAAAGATAGATTTTTTAAAATTTTTTAATATTATTTCCTAACCGAAGAAAATCATAATAATAAACAACTATATTCTTATTTCATAGATGGCGTTTATTTAAAATAATAATTACTATTGGTTAATCATATAATCATCGCTTTGTTTTCTATAGTTTTGATCCGAACAGTAGTCATTTGACTAAACTTTTTAATATTTCAATAGTTAATATGTTTTATGTTTTTTTTGTGTTAGATTGTATAACAATGCCATCATATCCAAGTCCAATACCAGCACCTATATATGATTCTGATGAATCTAGTCAACATTCAAATGATAGTAGTAATTATTTATCATCAACATTTAATCAATATACACGTTTATCATATTCACCAAAATTTAATTTAAATACAACAAATCAAATATTACCAATATCAATAAATTTTGATGATAATGAAGATAATTTTATTAATATTAATACAACAACACCAACAAAAATATTAAATTCAAAAAAATCTAAAAAACGTAAACATACAAATAATAATATATATGAATATCAAACACCAAATCAATCACCATATACAAGACGTAAAAATCTTGATTATGTACAACAACAACAAATAACAATACAAACACCTAAAACTCAACGTCGTTCACATTATAAACAAAATCAATCATCAACTAATAATAATAATTCATCATTAACATTTTCAAATTTAATTAATATTAATCCATTTAAAACAAAACATCATTATTATACACGTCTTGTTGCTAAAAAACAATCATTATTAATACCATCATTAAAAAATTTATTTATACAACGTTATGAACAAGAATTTCATTATGAATTATGTCTTGGTTATGGTGAATATTCATATGTTTATTTATGTAAAAATCGTCTTGATGGTTTAAATTATGCTATTAAAATTTCAAAAAATTCATTTATTGGTACATGTTATGAACAACAAGCATGGCGTGAAATATGTGCATATGCTAGTTTAACAACACATGAAAATTTAATACGTTATTATTCAGCATGGATTGAAAATGATGGAAAATTTTTTTTACAATTAGAATATTGTAATGGTGGTTCATTAGATGAATTAATTGAAAAAAATCGTTTAAATAATAAATATCTTAATGAAGATATATTACAAGATATACTTCATCAATTATCTGATGTATTAACATTTATGCATAATAATGATTTAGCACATTTAGATATTAAACCATCAAATATAATGTTATGTTATAATATAAATAATGAAATATTATATAAATTAACTGATTTAGGACATGTTAATCAAATAAGTTTATCTCAAATTGATAATGATGGTGATTGTCGTTATTTACCATTAGAAATATTACAAAAATCAAATATAAATAATTTATATTTAGATAAATGTGATATTTATTCATTAGGTTTAACATTATATGTTTGTGGAACAAATTATATTATGCCTAAACAAGGTAATGAATGGCAACAAATACGTTTAAATATTTCAAATTATTTATATACAATTACACAATGTTCAAAACAATTTAATGAACTTATTATTGAACGTATGTGTAATATTGATCCTAAACGACGACCATCAGCTTATGAAGTAAGTCTAATAAAAAAAAAAAACTTAAGATTTATTTCGTTTGTTGTTGATAAGATGTATATAGTAGGTTAATTACA